GGATTCTGCTCCATGGTTTCACTCACCATCCCAGCATCTGCTGGGACAGAGAAAGAAAAACCTCAGAAACCAGCATGGAAAAGAGGAGAACAAAGTAAAAGAGCAGCTGAAAATGGAAAAAAGGACTCAATTTCCCCAATTTTTCCCCTACAGACGAGAGAGGAGGGGATCAATTCAGCATCCAGCTCCCAAGCAGTCAGGGAGAAGGCAGCTCAGAGAGGAGTTACGGCCAGGAGTTAGTCAAGATGGGTAGGAAGTAGGGCTAGCAAGTGATTAAAACAATTAATCAGGATTAATTGTGCTTTTAAACTAGAACAGAATACAATTTATTTACATTTTTTTAATATTTTCTACATTTTCAAATATAGCTATTTCAATTACAACACAGAATACAGTGTACAGTGTTCACTTTGTACTTATTTTTATTACAAATATCTGCACTGTAAAAAACAAGATACAGTATTTTTCAATTAATCTAATACAAGCACTGTAGTACAACTTTTTTTTTAAATGAAACTGAAATTTCTAATGTAGAATTATGTATAAAAAAAGCTGCATTCAAAAATAAAACCATGTAAATCTTTAGATCCTACAAGTCCTACTTCTTGTTCAGCCAATCACTCAAACAGGTCTGATTACAATTTTTCAGGAAATAATTCGGCCTGCTTCTTGTTTTTATGGTCACCTGAAAGTGAAAACAGGTGCCATATGAATGCCAGGGTAGCCAGTGTCGCAAGTTATTTATGTGCCAGAGGTGCTAAAGCAGCAGTCACCAACCTGTCAGTCGTAATTTTGTTCAGTTGGAAGTGTAGACAAAGCCTAAGTCTATGTCCACACTACCAAATTTTCCCAACAAAACTTATGTCAATACCCAAAAGTGAACAAAATAAAAGCCACTGACCCACAGAAAAATAAGTCAGGGACCACACAAGTGAGAAGCAAAAAAACTCCTCCCAAAACCCTGAACCCTCACTGATGTGGCCCTCAACTGAGGTTCAGGGCTTCCCATGAGCCAGATTTACTTTCTTGGAGTCCAGAGTTAGTGGATTTTGCGGACCCCCTTAGGATTTGGAGTGAGAACAAAAATGAGGGGATCAGTGCCAGAAAGTGGGATAGGGATGCAGGATCTGGGTGGGAGGTAGGGTGTAGCAGGGGGTGAAGAAGGCAGGGTCTGAAAGGTAGTTTGGCAGCAGGAGAGGGTGTAGGGTGGGGGAAAGGGAGTTTGGGAGCAGAAGGTGGTTGGGGGAATAACACAGAAATGGTGAAAGGGTGAGAATGCAACCAAACAGCTACTTGGGGAAGGAGGCAAAGAAGTGGGAAATAAAGGAAAGTACAGCTTCTACAAATTGTATCCCCCCTCTCATCTTCCCTCTGTTCCAGCTTCACTCCCCACAGCTCCGAGAGCCCCCCCAGCCTGATCCCCTGTGTCAGCCTATGCCCCTCAGTGCAACCCCTGCCCCCTCCAATGCTACCCCTGCATCCTCCTTCATCCTCACTCCTGCTCCCACATCCCTGTGCCCCCAGAACACTCACTTGGCAGTGCTAGGATTTGCAACCTCCTGGAAGTAGCGCTGGGGCGGGGCGGGGCAGAGTCTTTTCCCTGCCTGGCCCAACCCTTTGCCTGCAGGCAGTGGCTCCGGAGCTGGGGCAGGAGAGCCCAGGACTGCCCAGGGCTGATTCCAGCCCTGCTGGGCAGTGGGGCACTGGAGAAGAGTCTCCCCAACCCCGCACAAAGCCCATGGGGAACAGTGCGGCGTAGCGTGGTCCCCGGTGCATCACGTGTGCCGGCAAGCCCCACCCCGCTTTGCTCCACCCCCTCCCAGAGCAGAAGATAAAAGCCAGGACGCATGGCTGCCCCTTTTTGATTCAACCCAGATGGAACATGGCACTGCCTCAGTAGGTTGAATGCTGCAGCCAGCTGGCCAGGCAGCTGCCCCTCTTTGCTCCAGCCCAGCTGACCACATGGTTCAGCCTGCCAAGGTTGCACCATGCTCCAGCTGAGCTGGATCTAAGAGGGGCAGCCTCCCGACCAGCTAACCACAGTGATGGACTCCTAGGGGCGCCGCGATCGACCAGTCACTATTGCACTACACTGTTTGTATGACGTGAAGTGAAAAATACTATTTATTTTAATTATCATTTTTACAATGCAAATATTTGTAATAAAAATACAGAGTGAGCATTATATACTTTGTATTCTGTGTTGTAGGTGAAATCAATAGATTTGAAAATACAGATAAAACATCCTAACAGTGTGATTAGTGGAGATTAATTTTTATGAGTTAATCATGTGAGTTATTGGCAATTATTTGACAGCCCTGAGAAAAAGCCTTGAGTAATATCTGCCCCAAATATGAGATACTTACTGGGGACTCAGAGAGTTCACAGGGTCTGTGTTGAGAATCCTAGCTATTTCCTTCAGACTCTGAGCTGGTGTAATGATCACTCACCGGCACAGTTGCCTCTCAGGGTTTCTTTTTCATCTGATCCCTAGAAATCTGGGGACAACGGCCCTTCTCTTTGTTCCAGTTGGGAAATGACATCAAGTTTGGAAACTGGAAACTATACTCATGGGAAAGATAATGAGAGAAATCAGGTGAATTTGTGGGACCTTGGTCACACGCAAACACTTCTGTAATTTTAACCCTACCCCATTTTAAAACACTGAAATCCTGGGGCCAGCTCCCCATGTCCTCAACAGTGCAGGATACTTTTTTATGAGGGGTTTCATTGCCCTCATGCCTCCTGGGAACATACACAGCCAGTCACTCGTGATCAAAGGGAGTCCTAAAAAGCAGAGCAGCTAACTCCATGTTCCAGGAAGGGAAGTCTGCAGGAGGGTACATCCCCTGGAACTGCTTCTTACGGACAGAGAAACGCTCAGAGATAGTGTATGATGAGGAAAGGCACAAGGCCTGATAGCTGGGGGAAGATACTCAGAAAGACAAGAAATGGTGCAGAGAAGCAGCTAGCTCTGCCAATTGCTTTGACATCCATATACCTTCCTCTAACCAATCTCTCCCTTCCCTGCTCCACGGGACCTGAAGGCCAGCCAATCCTTGTGTTCACTCCTCCCCTCCCATTGCCCACAGTGCTCCTTGCTACCAGTACTCCCAAATTCACTGCTCCCCAACCATTTGCATCCCATCTTCCCAATGTCCCAATTGTTCCTTGGTCTCTAATCCCAAGAGTTCATGCAAATAATGTGTCGCATTGCTCCTCATTGCTAGCACCTCTATTTACTGGGGTAACCACTACGAAGTACCCAGGCTTCCTTTACTCTAACAACCACCAGACTTCCAGACCCTGTAGTTCCATTTCTTCCAGCCCTTCACAGCATCTGAACTCTCAACTGCAGCAGTAACACAGCCTCCCCAATCTTAGGACAGGTATACAGTAGAACTTTACATACATTTAGCCACCTATGGTCTATTTTCTCAGTGATGCATCTACAATACCAAGCCTGTCACATCACCTTAAGAGGCTGCTGAAGTCAATTACAGTACTCCTGCTTTTCATGAGGAGTAATGCTATTCCCAGCATTGCATGGGCAAATTTATGGTAGTGCAGATGCAGCATTGGCCGAAAGTTGAGGCAACTGGCCTCTGGGAGTCCTCCCAGACCTCCCTGCTCTGACTAGCACTTGCAGCTCTACTGCTCTCCTGGAGAGCTCAAAAAGCTCCAGGAATATCAGAATGGCATTTCCCATGTTGCCAGCACTGCAAGCCCATCCTGAGAAAGCAGCATACCATGGCACACATGGTTAGAAGTTCAAAAATTCCAACAAACACTGCAATGACTTGCAATATGTCTGCTCTCACGGGTGCCAGTTCCCGGAAGTGCAAAAGAGCACCAGTGTGGATTGCCCAGATCTTGGACTTCATGCAGACATGGGGAGATAAGTCCATCCTCTAAGAGCTTTGAACCAGCAAGACGAATGCCGACATTTACAGAAAGATTGCAAACTGCCTGGCGGCTAAATGAGATTCCAGGGACACCTAGCAATGCCAAGTCAATATCAAAGAGCTCAGGCAGTCCTACTATAAGGCGAAGGACGCGAGTGAATGCACCTCACATCTGCCACTGCTACAAGCAGCTGGATGTGATACTGGGGGGAGCACCAGCCAGCTCCCACAGCATAATTGGAAGTCCAGCCAAGACATGCCTAGCATCAGCATGCAGGACCGAGTGCATTCTGATGCTTCCCTAAGAAGTCTGGGCACCTGCTGTAAAGTGCCCACTTTAAAGCAAACATTTGGCCTTGCAGAGAACACATTTCCATTTTCTTTATAGAGATCTTTGGTGTATGCGGACACACGAACTCCTCCTTTCCCAACATCTGCCCACCTGGCACAGTTCCACAGTCAAAAGCAGACAAGGGAGATGTTCATGAACAGATGGACTGCATGCACTCCCTCATGGAGGAGATGCAGGCCAAGCACCTGTACTGGATTCCCAGGGCTGTTGCTACACTTTAAAGGAGAAAGCGCTGCATGGGGCAGTCCGGTGCTCCCCAAGGCATTTCAAAGTGAAGCCTGGGGTCAGCTGGGGATTCTGAGTCCCCAGCTGACCCCAGGCTCCATGCAGTGCTGCGCTTTGAAATGCTGCGGAGAACCTGGTGTCCGTCTCCACACGTCATTTCAAAGTGGCAGTGCCACATGGAGTCCACAGCTGACCCTGGGCTGCACACAGCATTTAAAAGTGGCAGCGCCACGTGGAGCCCAGGATCCGGCCCCAGGCTCCACACGGTGCTGCCACTTTAAAGCACTCCCTCCTCTTCCTCTCCCCCTGCTGCTTCTTTCGGATAGAGGGAGCAAAGGGGGAAAGAAGGATAGTCAACTAGTCATTCACATCCCTAATTCCAATATGCTAAGAAACTTCTGCCCAAGGCCCTTCCCTTTCTGGGAGCACAGAGCCGTCTCCATCCCCCGCCCCCTTGCCCAGGGACCGGGTGTGGCTGTTGGCTCCCCAGTTCCTGGGTGTTTGTTCTCCTATGGCTGGATCAGCTCCTGCAATGGCTCAGGAGCAGAGAGATGTGGGGTAAAGAGGGGCTGTTTGTGCAGAATCACTCTCATGCCCATCCCCAGCACATTCCCTAAGGTCTCTCTCAACCCCCTGCAGGCTCTAGGGCTGGTTCACAGGGCTATTTACAGCTGGAGAAAGCCCTCACTTTGGCTGAGCATAAAGGACGCTTTACTCGAGGTCACTCTCTAGCCCCGATCCCACCTACCACCCAGCCTGGACTCCCAAATCAGAATGGAGGCATTAGTGTCTGACCCAGTTAAGTCAATCCCTATATCCTGAGCAGAGTGTGAATCAGAGAACATAAGAATGGCCAGACAGGGTCAGACCAAAGGTCCATCGAGCCCAGAAGCCTGTCTGCCAGCAGTGACCAATGCCAGGTTCCCCAGAGGGAGTGAACAGAACAGGGAATTCATCCCTTGTCCCTGATTCCCAGTGTTTGGCAAACAGAGACTAAGGACACCATCCCTGCCCATCCTGGCTAAGTGCCATTGAGGGATCTATTCATTAATTTATCTACTGTACATACTCATTCATAAGCTGTATTTGTTGTTGTTTTGGAAAAAAAAGTGAAGCAAAGAGCAGGGGTCAACTTTATCTCAATGGGTCTAGACCAAAAGTTGATGATTTTAAGCTCTACTGAATTACTGAAGTCAATATCTAATATATGGTTACTGCAGATCAGGATCAGCAAACTATGGCTCCCAGACCATCAGGATAAGTCCCTGGCAAGCCAGGACCTCGTGTTTACTTTAAGCATCGGCAGAAACAGCTCCTACTGACTGTGACCAGCAAGAAGTCCCTCAGCCTGTGCCACTTCCCACAGTTCCCACTGGCCCAAACAGTGACTTCTGCCCCTGGGATTAGTGGGGCACTGTGCCCGCAGACACTCAAGGTAAATAAAATGCCCCGGAGTATCAGAGGCTTACCTTTGTTGGGATATGTAAAAAATTAATAGGGGTCCGGGAAAAAAAATATCGTAGTGGTAGGGGGTCTGGCCACAGCAGGCATTGTCCTTTGAACATGTTTTCTCCCCTTTGTCCTTGCAGCCTGCAAAGACAGATAAAGGGTCCATCCAAAGCAGGTATTATCTTTTCTGATGTATAAATATGCTCTTTTCCATACAGCTGCTCTTCTTTATTTTGTCACTTGCTCTGTAAAAACAGTTTCAGGGTCACATCCTTTGTAATATCTGTAACCTGCTAATTCGGGAAGTATGTAATGATCCTAAGTGTTGATCTAACTGAAAATCCTGTAAACAGTAAACAGGAGTGGGTATAATAATCACGTGCCTATTGATATTCATTGAATAGGTGTTAACATTACTAAATAAGGATTATGGGGAAGTAGTTATAAATGTGTGAATTAACATACTAAAATGATAAAGGAGTGTAACTGGTGCCAAATCATTGCCACTTGGAACACTGTTTTGGGGGTCCAAGGTAAGCGTGCAATAAAGTGGTCCGTTTACCCCATCCGCTCCTGGGTCACCTGTTTCTTTTCTAACAACTTTGACAAGCTGGGAGTCAAACAAATGGGCTAATGAACAAATATATATGGTAGTTATTTTTTGAACCCTATTATAGTATTGGCTCTCACAATTTCCTCTGGCATGAATTCCACAGGTTGACTGTGCATTGTATGAAGAAATAACTTCCATTTGTTTTAAACCTACTGCCTATTAATTCATTTGGAGACCCCTAATTCTTCTGTTATGAGGAGTAAATAACTCTTCCATAGCTACTTTCTGTACTGAGATCATGATTTTAAAGACCTCTCTCATACCCCCTTTAGTCATCTCTCTTCCAAGTTGAAAAGCCCCAGTCTTCTTATTTTTTCTTCATATGGCAGCCATTCCAAACCCCTAATCATTTTTGTTGTCCTTTTCTGAACTTTTTCCAATTCCAATAGATCTGTTTTAAGATGGGAAGACCACATCTGCACACAGTATTCAAGATGTGAGCATACTATGGATTTATAGAGGCAATATGATATTTTCTGTCATAACTATCCTGTTCTTAATGATTCCCAACATTCTGTCCACTTTTGTGACTGCCATTGAACATAGAATGGAGGTTTTCAGAGAACTATCCATGACTCCAAGATCTCTTTTTGGAATCATAACAGCTAATTTAGACTCCATTTCATATGTATATTTGGAAGTATGATTTCCAGTGTGCATTACTTTGCATTTATCAACATTGAATTTCCTCTGCCCATCACTCCCTGTCTTTCCTTGCAATGACTCTAGATTAACAATAGTCTTGGGGAGACCAAAAATATGCCTCAGGAGGGATAAAGCCGGAGTCCCTTCCTCCTCCCCACCTTCCTCTCTCCGAGGAAGATTCACAGCAACAAGTTTGTATCCTGAAGTTTTGATAAGGGGAGAAGTGAAACCTGATTTCCTTTCGGTACTTGAAAAATGGATAGGATGTTAGCAGCAGCCTCTGCCAGCCACTCAAATACTAAGGTAGTCCTCGGTGATGCTTCATTAGTAGGAAAAGTGACAGTATTGGGGAGCTCAGATTCATAAGAAATTTCTTTGTCCTGTGACTGGCAAACAATGGCCAATAGATACCCACCCCAGAGGAGACTACATCTCAGTCTGGGGGAAGCAACCCCTCACAGAGATAATTTGTTATAGCACTATGGGTTACAACTGATGCACGAGTGGAAGTGAGGGGTTAGTACAGCAGTCTGAGGAGTCTCAGACAGTTTGGGCACTGCCTAGGTAGCAAGGAAGCAGTCCCAGAAGGAGCTCTCATCTTGTGGCCCCTTAGGAATAGAAAAGGTGTCTCATTATTGGATTTTAGAGTGAGCAGCCGCTGGTGTGTATTTGTCCCAGATTTGGTGCAAAGTGGGCCATATGAAAGCCTTCAATAGTGTGGACAGGCAGTCCATCTGGACCATCATGCAACATTGCAGAGTTCCAGGCAAACTAAATTACCATCATCAAGAAACTGTATGAAGAATACTCTTGACAGGTCATCCGTGATTGAAAACTGTCGGAAAAATTCCAGGTCACAATAGGTGTACGCCAAGGCTGCCTTCTTTCTCCATTTCTCTTTCTGATTGTCCTAGACTGGGTCACAAAAACAGCATACGCTGACTCAGGAAGGGGACTCCAATGGACTCAAACTAGGAAACTTGAAAATGACTTAGCTCTGCTTGCAGACAAATTAGAGCATATGGGAGAGAAGACAGATGCCCTACAGGAAACAGCTGAGTGAGTGGGCCTCAAGATTAGTCAAGAGAAGACCAAGTTGATGCGCATTAACCAGATAGGAAGGTGAAATTACAATTGTAGGCAAAGCAGTGCAAGAGGTAGATCAGTTTGTATACTTGGGAAGTGTTATCAGCAAGAATGGGGGACTGAAGAGGCTATCAGCTCAAGAATATGAAAGGCTCAACAAGCCTTTGCCATACTATGACCAGTCTGAGGTACAAGAGCCATTTCAACAAGAACCAAACTATGTATTTTCACTTCCAATGTGAAATCAGTGCTGCTGTATGGCTCGGAGGCGTGGCGCGTTGTTCAGAACAACACTAAGAGAATTCAGAGGTTTGTCAATAAATGCCTTAAGACACATTCTCCAGCTCAAGTGGTATGATAGAGTGCCAAATGAAACCTTGTGGACCAAAACAAATCACAAACCAATGGAGGTTCAGATTAAGAAGAGAAAATGGCGATGGGCAGGCCACATCCTATGTAAGGACCGTGAGGAATGCGTAAGGACTGTGAGGCATGTATCACAAGACAAGTGTTAGCATGGAATCCAAACGGAAAGAGGAAAAGGGGATATCCCAAACAAACATGGCGATGAAGCTGCCTGGATGAAGTAAAAGCAGCTGGCTTAACATGGGATCAAATCAAGACTATCACTAGGAATCGCAAGAGATGGAGAATGACTGTGGAGGCCCTATGCTCCATTAGGAGCCCAAAGGACTAATAGATATAGGGCCTTACGAGATGTCAAATTAAAGCTTATGCAACGCTGACTCTGTACAAGTACCTGAGTAGCCTAGACAATCTGTGTGTGTAAAGTTAAAAATATGGGCTTTGTATTCATTTTTTACATGTTTTCAGATGGGAGGGGCAGTTGCTCGATATTGCATGAACAATGGCTCTTAACTGATGCCAACTGACACCCAAGAAGCACACAATGGTTCCTTGCCTGGGAAGGATACACCTGAGGACACCATGGTGTCAACTTACAGAGGCAGGGCCCAACCGGGCTGTGGATTCGCTTCAAGACAGATTCCATTAGGGACAGTTGCTTTTATTAATCTCACATCATTACTATTACAGGCTTAATACTGCCAGATGGTTACACAGCTACTGCAAAGTAATAGGCCAATAAGCATAGGCAGAGCAATGCATAAAAGACTAACAGGCACTTGGAAATGCTTACACCCTTTGAGTGTGCAGGGAGTCCCGTTCCGGTCACCTCACACCCGGCCACAGTGGACGTGGCTCCAGCTAGGGGGATCCAGGGCACCCTTGGAGGTGTAGGTCCCGGTCCCTGATGAGACTCAGTGGGCACTGGACTCCCTACACTAGTTATACTACAGTTGTTTACTGGGTGTGCACATACCTGGCTCAACGCCATTCTTATCATTCTTAGGAGCTGAGACCAAGGCCAAACTTGTTTACCCCTTAGTAGTTTCCTAGCTCAAGGCATGGGTTAAAGCTGATAAAGCCTAGCTGCTTTTGGGCTTGCAGGGTCCCAGGCTATGCTAAGCTGGGTACAGCAGGGATGGAAACTTCCATCCCAGGCCTGCTCAGCTGCAGGACCCACATATGACACTTATGTGACATGCAGCTCATTGCTCCATCTTGTCTTCAATCCTGCTCCTGATTCCAGTAGCACCCTGCTATGAACAGAAAGCCCAGAAGGATTTGATGACCCATCCTGTCATAGGATGTACACCAAAGACTTTTAAGCTGGCAGTCTGTAACATCTCTGCTAAGAGCCTGCATCAAGAACAGGGTGATTGATGTACGTCATGTATTTTCTAACCATCTCGTGTTCAGCCTTTTCTTTCTTTTTTATTAATAAACCTTTAGATTCTAAAGGATCAGACCAGCATGTGCTTTTGGGTAAGATCCAAGGTATAAATTGACCTGGGACTGTGACTGGTGCTTTGGGACTGGGAAAACCTGTTCTGAGTTGGTGAGATTGGGTTTTATGCCCTCTTACCTATATAAAGTGTGGGTCTCGTGGCACAGGTAAAGCTGGAGCTTCTAAAGCGTTTTGCTTATGAGACTTCTTGCTGGCCAGAGTAGCAAGTGAAGTGCTCTGTTGACTGGTTTGGTGCCTTATAGAGAAGGACTCCAATCTTGGGCTGTAAGTAGCTCTGGTTTTGAACAATTCACCTTGATCAGATCCTCTCATCGGTGCCCAGACAGATGAAGTATATTACAAAAGGGTCCAGTCAATTTTCCTGTGAGCAGCTGGGAGACACCTCTCTCCCAAACAGGAGAGGCTTCTGGCTTGGAGGGATATGAAAGGTGGATTTCAGCAAACATTTTAAGAGTGAGAGAGAAAGGGTGAAGGAAATGAGTCTGGAATGTGAGCAGGGAAATCATCATTGAAACACCCCCCACTCCCAGCAATGGCTGGGATGGGGAATGGCTAAAAGGTCGCAAATTCCCTCCAAAGAAGCAGTTGCTGCACCTCAGTTTGGGAATCCCCAACCCTGAGATGCTTTTTAACAGGCATCTGATAAAAATATAGGAAAAGACAAAATCTGACAGCTGATGCCAATGTTCAGCCTTTCAGAGGGGTGGGGAGTGCAAACTTGGGGAATTTTGTATCAATGTTCACAAAGTAGAGAGGAAAGCAGAAAAATACGCAGGATTTTATACTGATAGTCAACAACAGGTAAAGAGAGAAAAATTTGTGTGTATTTTCTATTGTTAAGTATGAGTGGGTTGCGACATTAGTTTCTTTCAGCAAAAACCACGAGGAGTGCTGTGGTACCTTAAAGGCTAACACATGTATTTGGGCATAAGCTTTCATGAGCTGGGACCCAATTTGTCAGATGTATGAAGTGGAAAATCCAGTCTGGTAAGCGTGTACGTACGTACATACATACGCACGTACATACATACGCACGTGTGCACACACACACACACACACACACACACACACACACACACAGAGTGGGGGGCGGGGAGGAGGGTTTACATTATTATGCAGAGAAACAGTACTAAGGAGGTCAATTCAATAGGGTGGCCCACTTCCAACAGTGGATGAGAAGATGTGAATACCGAAAGGGGGGAAAAAATACTTTTAGTAGTGAGCTAACCACTCCCGGGGTATGTCTACACTAGCACCCTCTTTTGAGAAAAGGATGCAAATGAAGACATTCGAAACTGCAAATGAAGCTGGGATTTAAATATCCCATGCTTCATTTGCATGTTCGCATTATGGCGCTATTTCGAAAAAGCGCTCTTTCAAAATAACAAGCTGGGATTTAACGCAGTTATTTCAAGAGAAAAACCTTCTCTCGAAATAACCCTTATTCCTCATACAATGAGGTTTACCAGTTATTTCGAGAAGGGTTTTCCCACAAAATAACCGCATCTTAACAGCATCTGTTATTTTGAAAGAGCGCTTTTTCGAAATAGCGCCATAATGTAAATATGCAAATGAAGCACAGGATATTTAAATCCCAGCTTCATTTGCAGTTTCGAATGTCTTCATTTGCATGCCTCTCTCGAAAGAGGGTGCAAGTGTAGACATACCCCCAGTCTCTATTCAGACCCCGTTTGCATTTGAATCCCAGCTCCAATTCATCAGGGAGCATCTACACAGCAGTGTTATTTCAGAACAAAGGCCATTATTCTGAAATAACAAAGCGAGTGTCTACACAGCAATTCCGTTATTTCAAAATAAATTTCAAATAGTGGATGGCTTATTCAGACTTCTGTAAACCTCATTCTACGACGAATAACGCCTATTCCAAAATTGCGATTTCAGAATAGCAGTAGTGTGGACGCTCCCCTGCTGCTATTTCAAAATAGCTCCTTCCCAGGGCCATTCAGAGTAATTACTCCCCAGTTCCTCCTGGGGCTCTAAATCGAGTTAGTACGTCCACATTAGGGAAGCCTGCCTGGGACTAATTTTGCGGCTTCCCTGTAGTATAAATGTGCTATTTCAAAATAAGTTATTTTGGAGTATTTCTTCTGGAATAGCTTATTTTGAAACAAGCATGCAGTTTAGATGTACCCATGGAGACAAACACCTACAGGATCTCTATCAAGGGTTCTTAACGCTACTATACACACCTGGGCTACGTCTAGATTGCATCCCTTTTTTGTAAAAGGGATGCAAATTAGACGTATCGCAATTGCTAATGAAGCGGGGATTTAAATCTCCCCTGCTTCATTAGCATAAAAATTGCTGCCGCTTTTTTTCGGCTCAGAGCTTTGCCGGAAAAAAGCGCCAGTCTAGACGCGGATCTTTCGGAAAATAAAGCCTTTTCCGAAAGATCCCTTATCCCTTACTTTAACAGCCCTGACACCAAGGCTGACCACGTATCTACTCAAGTGACACCATCACAGAACCAAACCACATCAGCCACACTATCAGGAGTTTATCCACATTGCACATCTACTAATGTGATATCCACCATCACATGCCAGCAATGCCCCTCTGCCACGTATGTTGTCCACACTGGACCTTCTCTATGAAAGAAGAATAAATGGACACAAATCAGACATCAAAAAAGGTAACATTCAAAAACCAAGAGGGCACTTCAGTTTTCCTGGACACTCAGTAACAGCCATAAAAGCTGACATAATTCAGGAAAAAAAAAAAAAAAAAAACCCTTCAAAAACTGACTAAAGAGAGACTGGGAGTGGCTATGTGTCGGGGAACAGCCGCCCCGCACTCCAAACCCCTCGGCGTCTGCCCTGTTCGCAGCGCAAGGGGTCTGGTACTGGCCCTGCGTGCAGTGCTCACATGCCCCGCAACAGCCTTGCGCTGCGAAGGCAGCAGCGAACGCGAGCCACAGAGTGCAAAAAGGGGGGGGGAGAGTATGGAGGCACACAGTGTGACACGGTGCTAGCACACTGCAAAATAGCCTCACACCACTAGAGTAGCAGCGAAAAGCGAGCCATGGCATGCAGGAAAAGGGGGGGAGGGGGAAGAATACAGGGACGCATGGTGTGACGTGGCCGTGCTGGAAGTAATGTCAGGTGAAGCAGGGGAGCAGGGAGATTTAAAAAGCAAACGGGAGCAGTCACAAGGGGGGAAGGAGTGAGAGGGGAAAGGAGAGGAGGGCGAGGTGAAAAAAGAAAGGAAGGTAGGACGGTGGCTGTGAGGAGGCAAAGGGAGCCTCAACTTGGTGGAGGCAGTGCTGCCAAAGTTACTTGGTAGACAGAATGGCACCGAGAGACTGTGAGAGTGGGGAGAGGAAGCAGCCCAGGGCAGGGCAACCGTTTAAAGCCCGCGAGGAGCCCCATCAGCCAGACAGGACCAGAAACAGTCTCTGTCCTTAGGGCCCTGGGCTGGGGCCCGTTAGTGAGGGCGGGCCGGGCCCGGGCTCCTCTCTCCCCTCTCTCAGAAGCAGCTGTTACTGGTGACTGGGAATTAGGAGCTGACGCTCTCAGAGTGTGGCAATCATCAATAGAGTGAGCCAACGTGGGAGAAGCTGGTGCGAGAACTTCATAAATAGGACCAAAAAGGGAAAAGTGGTCAGGGCGAGGGACTGAC